GAGCGGCTCTGGCATCAGTGGCGCAAAGGAACTCGACCGCAGATGCTCTGAATATCCTGTTTATTGTCGTGGATGACCTGCGCACCTCCCTGGGCTGTTACGGGGACAAGCTCGTGAGGTCTCCAAACATTGACCAGCTGGCATCGCACAGCCTCCTTTTCCAGAATGCCTTTGCCCAGCAAGCAGTGTGCGCCCCGAGCCACGTGTCCTTCCTCACAGGAAGGCGGCCTGACACCACTCGCCTCTATGACTTCAATTCCTACTGGAGGGTGCAGGCTGGCAACTTCTCCATCCTCCCCCAGTACTTCAAAGAGAATGGCTATGTGACCACGTCGGTTGGAAAAGTCTTTCACCCTGGAATAACTTCCAACCACAGTGACGATTCTCCTTATAGCTGGTCCATTCCGCCCTACCACCCCTCCTCTGAGGTGTGCGAAAACACCAAGACTTGCAGGGGGCAAGATGGACAGCTGCACGCCAACCTGCTGTGTCCTGTGGATGTGGTGGATGTGCCGGAGGGCACCTTGCCTGACATGCAAAGCACTGAGCGGGCCATCCAGTTGTTGGAAAAGATGACAACATCGAGCAGGCCTTTCTTCCTGACTGTTGGGTACCACAAGCCGCACATCCCTTTCAGACACCCCGAGGAGTTTCAGAAGTTGTATCCCTTGGAGAACATCACCCTGGCCCCTGACACTGAGGTGCCTTCTGGCCTCCCTGCTGTGGCCTACAACCCCTGGATGGACATCAGGGAGCGGGAGGACGTGCAGGCTTTGAACGTCAGCGTGCCCTATGGCCCCATTCCTGTGGACTTTCAGCGGAAGATCTGTCAGAGCTACTTCGCCTCTGTTTCGTACTTGGACACTCAGGTCGGCTGCCTTTTGAACGCGCTGGAGGATCTGCAGCTGGCCAGCTCCACCATTGTTGTGTTCACTTCCGATCACGGGTGGTCACTCGGTGAACATGGAGAATGGGCCAAATACAGCAACTTCGATGTCGCCACTCGCGTGCCCCTGATGTTCTATGTTCCTGGTAGGACAGCTTTGCTTCCAGGGACAGGCGCAAAACTTTTTCCTTACATCGACCCTTTATTAGAGTCCAGCTCGGAACTGACGGAGCCAGATGCAGTCTTTGTTCTCACTGAGCTGCCGCTCACCACAGATAATCTGCTGTCCTTCATCATGAGAGTTCCATCTGCCGACAAGAGCCAAGAAGCCAAACTCAGACCTGCTGCTTCCAAGTCCATTCTGCCTCATGGTGACCCTCCACTGGGTTCCTAAGGGTGGAGATCTTCTCAAAGAATGTGTCCTCTTTCCCTTAAGGAGCTCTTGTGTTGAGTGGCTGACCTTTCGTTAGAAGCCCAATACATAATGATTACACCACCAGGGATCCTGTCATCTTAAAAAAGCCACAAAGAAAACCAGACCCGCTGCTCTTGCTTCGATTCCAGCCATCAAGTTGAGTATGACTCCTCACAGCTCCAGAAACAAGGACAAGCCTGAGCCTTGGCCTGTCCCGTGCCGTCCTCACCAGATCTGACACACTCGAGCCCACTGCCACAGTCACTGTGCATGTCCACCTGTTGAGGGTCTTCCTCTCCTTTGCTGACCCTCGACCTTTCCAACCATGATGTCCCCCTCCAAAGAACAGCCTCTCCTAGCAACATACTCAAAGTATGAGACACAGCTTCACCATCCTTGCTTCCAAGTACTTTCTCCAAAATATATCTGTTCTTTTGGCAGAAAATAGGATATTCAGTACTCTTCTCAAACACCACAGCTCAAAGGCATCAATTCTGCTGTCTTCCTTATTCACTGTCCAGGTCAAATAGCAACCTTTATTGAATTTCCAAGGCTGGGAACCTTTGTCCCATAGAGCAGCTAGTGGATTCCTTCAGCACAAGGCTGAAGGCACTCTGCCAACTTGGGGTCCCCAAAGTAGCTGGTTGAGCAATACTGACATCTTGTGGTGATCTTGCTCAGCCATGACCCTGTTAGAACTCCTCATGCTGGTTCACAGCTGGACCAGAGGGGGCAGAGCCCAGGCTGGCAGGGAGCAGGCTCACCATGCCATGTTCTGGATACATGCCAAGAAGTACGATTAGGATTTGCTGCTTCCTGTCTGGAGACGTCAGAGACTGAGAGGGATTGGAGCAGCACAGCAGCTGATACTTACAAAACCCTTGTTCTCATTTATAGTCATTTCAAGTGTGTGTTTCAAAAAGACACTTTTTTGGTAGGTGATGTATTCTCCAAGTCAATTATATCCTTAACAGGTTTTATGACTTCATCTCTCCCATAATATTGAAAAAAAAAAACCAACCCACCACCACTCTTGGATCTGTGTTACATGCACCGTGAGTGGAGCACATTAAAGCTGTCATGATAAAAAAAAAAGAAAGAAAGTGAATGGGGGAGGAGGAAGAAAAGGAAAGGAGGGAAATGTACAATAATGAATGAATGAAAACCCAGCTTTTCTGCAAACTTTCATTAAAATTAGAATTAACTATTTTAAAGATGATTAATAACAATGCAAAACAACACTAAAAAATACTAATGTGAAATTTTTCTAGTTATACAAATTATTGTTACTATGTACCATTGAGTAGATTTTCAGAGGCAGTAAAATGCACAAAAGGAGATTGTTCATCTTCCTCCCACAAAGCAGCTGGTGAATTTGAGCTACATGCCTTCAGACTGACAGCTCAGCTCCTTATTTGTAGGCCACCTGAGTTCCACATTATACAAATTGTTGTTACATGCTGTCCAGTCAGAAGCAATAGGCTAACCCTTTAATAGATTTTTCAAAGGCAGTAAGTCACATGGGAAGAGATTTCTCAGGGATACCTAGTGGACTTGAACCACGTGCCTTTGGGTTGGGAGCACAACTCCTTACCACTAGGCCACCAGAGCTCATAGTAGACAAATTAGTTGTTATCGATTTAGCTCACCTACAATAGTTAGCTCACCTACAATGATCATATTCAACAATTTAAGAACTTTTAGTTGTAGCCAGACATACAGAATTGTCCCATTTAAATGGTTCATTTAACACAGTCACGGCTAATGAAAAGTCTAATAGTTTGACTCGACCAGTGCTGTCTACTAAGAAAAGCCTGTTGTGCACCGTTGATTTGGAACCAACCCATAGCTGACCCCCCAGTGGGTATTCAGAAGCAGTTAATTGCGGGGAAAAAATTGCCCTTCCTTCTCCCATGGAACAGCTGGTGGCCTCGAACTGCATGCCGCTGCAGTTACAGCACAGCTTCTTGCCACTAGGTCACCTAATGATCTGAAATATCAACGGTGGGGTGTAGTTTTACTCTGACATGGGGGGGTCAACAAGACTTAAAGCATATTCTAGTACAAATGATTTTGTTTTATTTTATTAGTAGAGACAGTTCTTGGGTTACAAACATCCAACCTAAAAATAACTTCTACTTACCGTTTTTAATGTTATGTAAATATCCCCTTAACTTTGAAATGATGGAAACAACCCCCAGTTACAACGAATTCTTTATCACAATGACCTTCACTTACTGCAAGGTGCAGTTTTTAAAGTCAGTTAAAATAGTTTGAATCATTTCTTGCACTTAAAAAAAATAATCACTGTCATCATTTTGGTTCTGATTCATAGCAAAACACCGTTATATGCAAGGCTGAAAACATTCAGACTGACCACTGTTGTCCCTTGGAGCAGCTGGTAGATTCAAACTGCTGACCTTGAGTAGAGCAACATACTATGCGTTACTCTATCTGAGCTCCTTCTATTTATTGCACTAGATTTAAAAAAGAACAAAATCCTCTCAATCTCATTGCCATTAAATCAGATCCAATTGACAACTGAAGCTCCAGCGGGTTTTACACAGGAAGACAGTGTGCCTGTCTTTCACTGTGATTCACTGGTGGATTCCAACTGCCAGGAAAAGCTACATAAAACCCACGCGTGTATGTTTCGACTTACCTACAAATTCCTCTTAAACACATAGCTGGGGCCAAATCTCATTCATAACCCAAGGATGGTTTGTATTGTGCTGAGTAAGAATTTAATCGGGGTAATCAATCGATAATTGTACCTGTTTTTGAGAACTCCGGTGGCGTAATCCGCAGGGAGTTGTTCTGTTAATCAAAAGGTCATGCGTTTCCAACAGTGTGAATTCACTAGCAGCTTCACAGGAGAAAGTAAGACAATTTTCTGGGTTATTTACAGCATGGAAAATTCAACAGGAGGTCAGTTTGGAGTCAGTTCCCAACTCAAAGGCAATGTGTTTGTGGGGAATGAACTGCTATTGTGGTTAGAGGCTGTCAAGCAAATGTACAGCCAAGTATGGACAACAAAACAAAACCCTGCCGGATCCTGGAGCGTCCTCACAATCTCTGCTCGATTGAACCCCACCATTAAAGCCATTATGTCAATCCTCTCACTGAGATCTTCATTCCCCCCCGACATTCTACTTAGTCAAGCATGCTTTGCCACTTTAGGAAGCAGACCCTCAAGATAACATACCCTAAGCATGCGACACCCACAACAGCAACACGTATCGGGGTTAGAATTTTTTTTTCACTTGACCTATTAACTACATCATGCTTGTAAAAGTGGAGGGATAGCAAAAGAGAGGAAGACCTTTCCTAATTTAACTTTAAATCAAGCAGTATTTCCTTGTTCTTTTCAAATAGCTGGTTTTTAACCTACCTACAGGTTTCACTTGAGTGATATTAAATATCCTGGAATTTCTTTTCTTCTCAATATTATATATAATTATTATAATCCACACAGTCAAACACATTTGTCTAGTAAATAAAATCTGAGTAAATATCTTTCTATTTTGGCTTTTTGGACTTGGTATATTCCTATTTCTTTTTTATATACTACCTTATTATATAATACTTTATATTTGCAAGCATAGTAAAAATCAAATTGTTACTTTCAATATAATAACATAATTCTTTAGAAGCAGGAGTGGCATCAGCTTCCAAAATGGCTTGCCTCTGGAAACTTTATGAACATGGAGAAATAACGAAATTTATACCAGTGTTTACATCTTTCATTCATAGGGTCACTATGAGTCATATGCAACTCAATGACACTTAACAATTAACAACGATAACATAAAGAGAGCTCTGTTGGCCTACTGGATAGAAAGTTATGCTACCAAGCCAAAGGTGGGTGATTTTAATCTGCGACCCTCAGGCCCAGTTTTGTTTTTGGTCAAACATTCTTCTAAGTGGTATAATACTGGTCTGTCCATTTGCTGTACAGAGGTAACTCATGGTTGCTGTAATGCTAAACACTGTGACACTGATGTGTCAAATGTGATAATGGAAGCTTGGATGCAGGAGTGACATCTACTTCCAAAATGGCTTGCCTCCAGAAACCCTATGAATGTGGAGAAATGACGAACGTTATATAAAAGTGTTCAGGTCTTTCTTTCATAGGGTTGCTATGAGTCGTCTATGACTCGACAGCACTTAACAACATAATTCTAGAAGTAGCAAATGCCAAAGCGAATGACAAATAATCTTACTACAAGGGTTAGAGGGAGCTGTGGTGGCTTAGCAGTAAGAAGCCATGCTGCAATCTCAAGAGCACACAATTGGAACCCACTAGCTACTCCTCAGAAGGGAAGTAGGTAATATCTTTCTGGATGATTAACTGTCTCTGAAAACTCACTAGAAGGTCAGCTATGTGTTAGTCCTGATTAGAAGGTCAACAATAACAACTTGATGATTAAGGTTGTATTGTCCCTTTGAATAGACTATGATTTTTGGTGATTTAGCTGTGGTGTAATTAGTAAATGTGTCAGTTATATAATTATGTAATTTGACAGTTATATAATGATATAGTCATTCTTCATTTTGTGATCCATCTTTGCATGAACCTCATAGATCATAGATGTATAGCAACCATCTTGATACCTGAAGTATGAACACAGAATTTGTGGAACAACAATTTCTAGCTGCTAAACTTGACTTCTCTGTAAAAAAGATTGTTATTTTCTCAAGTGGGCAAATTGATTGGCAAAACAAATTTCCTGAAATCTCTCTTCATGTTGATTAAATGTTGCTGCAAATTATGGCAAAATGTGTTTCTAAGCATGGTCATCAATTTAAAATGTGTGGCGATGGGTTAAATTTTATACAAATAAAATTATGTTGTAATATTTGAAATGTTGTTGTTAGTTGTTGTTATGTGCTTTCGAGTCACTTGCAACTCATAGCGACCCTATGTACAACAGCCCTGAACTCCGCTCTGTCCTGTGCCAATTGCACTGCCTCTGACA